ATACTTATTCTATATTGTTGTTTTTTTATTGAGATCATGAATCGATTGCTGTTAGACCATCATTAATAGCCTGGAAGCATTGGACGGTCGTTTCATCCTAGTATAGGACTACTCAATTGATGAGTCTTAGATTGTGAAAAACATTCAAATCATATCTTTTCACTAACTTTCTTAATTTTGATTAATTACAAAAGGTGAAGATTATCATATTGATGAATCTAGTCGAACGTGGTATAGGATGGAGTGTGTGCGTGTGCATATCCCGGCCGTTGCTATCTTGATGTGGTGGTCAGTCTTGCCTGTTGTGATGAACCAACCGAGCTATACTGGCTGGAACAATCGTTCCTCAGGGTCCTACCCTGTCAGACAGATCGTTCAAACAGCGGCAAGACTATAAGCAGCAAACCCAAGGTCTGAGGGCGAAATCGTACTGCTGACTGTACAGAGGTGTGACGGAAGTAAAGTGTTTCCTTCAAACAACCACCATAACAGCGATGCTGGGGTTAGAAAAGGTCGACCCTAAAGATGTACACCTTGCCTTATCCCACAGATATCCGTCTCCGGCTGTAAGGTCTTAACAAGTACAGAGCTAACACGAAAATTGCCCACAAAATGGTCGTGTGTGACCGACCTTAAGCAGTTGTCCTTTTGGCACTACAGTCACTCTCACAGGTCACTATGACCACTTTTAATCCAATTTCCTTTTCTGGTACCTTCAGAACTCTTCCACAATGTGGGCAACTGAGAAGTGATAACCGCCCTTACACCTCTAATAGCAGTGTGTATATGGCCTTCTCTCATATAATTTTTACTGTTCACTAGACTGTACATTTCATAACTTATCTCAAACCTATGCTGATAACTTCTTTATAATGAAATTGACTTAAAGTCATTTAAAAATGTGATTTATATGATTAGCTCTTTTAAGAGATAAAAACAAAACAATTAAAAGTTATTACAGATTGAAATCATGAGTCAATTGAAGCTAGACCACCATTGAAAACCTGGAAGCACTGGACTGCCGTTTCGTCCTGGTATGGGACTCCTCAGCAGTGCGCATCCACGATCCCGCACCCCGCGAGATTCGAATATTCCAAATAGATTGATTTTTATTAGTTGTCTGAATTTTTCCATTGATGTTTACTCCATATATGCGAAAGAGACTGGTCGATTACAGTTTTGAACATCAATGGAAAAATTTAAACAACTAATAAAAATCAATCTATTTGGAATATTCGAATCTCACGGGGTGCGGGATCGTGGATACGCACTGCTGACGAGTCCCATACCAGGACGAAACGGCCGTCCAGTGCTTCCAGGTTTTCAATGGTGGTCTAGCTTCAACTGACTCATGATTTCAATCTGTGAAAATTTCTAAAAATCTCCACAAACCCCTTCTGATAATTAAAAGTTAAACAGACAAAAAAATGATGATAAGTATTATACAAAATATGTTTCACTGATCTCTAATAAAACAATATTGATCATCTATGAAATAAAAATCAAATAAACCAATCATAGATACATTAGATAAGATGAAAATGAAAAGAGAAGAATCCATAGAGAAATATATTCAGTAAAACCAGCCTGTTGTTTTGTTTGTTTGCTTTTTTTCTAATCATAAATTGTAAAATCATTGAGAAAATTAGATATAAATTAGATTTATATGAGTTACAAACTGACATAATCTCTAATTGAATACTGTAAATTGAGTCATAGATTACGATTGGTATTAGAATCGTACATTTAAAGCAAAGTTTGTTCACTATCCTAGTTTTTTTTACTTAACGTCATCTTAGATGTTCTTTTGAGACACTATGCTCCCCTTATCTGGATTTTCATGTGTTGGGGATGTTAAATCCTCAGAACTCACTTAGTAAATACTTTATTTTTGTAATTCTGTTTTAGAAATTTGAATTTTTTTGTTTTCGCGCTAAAAGCGCTCATTTTCACTTTCATATTTTATTTTCCACTTAGAAGGGACTTCAATGCTATTCGTTCGTTATCTCTTTTAGTATGCTATTTTGTACCGTTTTTTATGCTGTATATATACGCTTGATTTGCGCTTTTTTCATGCTTCTGGCTGCTTGTGGAATATATTTCCTTCTTACGAACTTGGACTTCTCTCTCTCTTTGGTTAGCTGAACTGGGACGCGTCAGAATAGCTGGCTTATCTGTCATTGTGTTACAGAGTCTGTGTTCCGTTCTCATATAAGGTGAAATCTTAATCATGGTTTTTTTACCAGGACATTCACTTATCGACTTCCAATATCCAGACAATATAATTCTGTTTAGTGAAGACTATGACGAATTGAAGTCTTCTTATCATTTTGATTAACAGTTAAAACATGTTTGGAATGAGTTTTTCTCCCCCTGACTTCAGAATTTGTCCTTAGTTAACCTTTAAACTGATAGCTGAAGTGGTTGAAAGTTTCGACCACTTTACTTACATTTGTTAGCTTTGGTGCGTTAGTGCCTGACGAAATCTCAGCACATATTCAGAAAGCTCAGTTGGTTTTTGGATGGGTGAGACGTCCATTTGTTAACTGAAGTGTTCACTCTTTGTTACTCTATGTCTGTGAAACATGACTTATGAAGGTACAAGATAAGTGTAAACTTGGAACCTCTGATCGTAGGTGTCTTCTAAACACTGCTATCGTATCGTGAAACGACTGAGAGGTCAATGCTGAGATTAAGCATGCGATACTTAGCATAAATTTTTAGTTGGTGAGATACTGTATCTTCATCGACTTGAGGTTGTTAGGATATATGCCTAATCACGGTCTACCTCAACAGGCGTTGTTTACTGGTATAGGAGTACGTTGGAAGGGAACTAGGGGCTCTAAAACAAGATATCATTTTATGGAGTCATTGGATATTTGTGGGAGCTACGTTCGTCAATGCAGACTAACTGGTTAGGGTCCGCACAACTATTGTGACCAGAGGTCGACATTGCCTGGAACTAGTGATTACGTAGATTCACATACTCTTCCTCTAGATCTTCGATCCTAGTGTTCATCTATACATACTTTTCTTCTCGAACCATAATTTAGTGTATAATTGTGCTCACGGTCAGTGCTATTACTATTATTTCGTGTTGCTTGCTATTCATCTTGCTTATTTCATTTCGTTGTGTTGATTTGGCTTAGGCATATGTGCCGGGCTGAATGACAAAGGGCGCTGGATAGCCACCTTATCCTGGTTTTAAACTATTCAATAGTGCGTATTCACAAACACACTTAAAATCGAACCTACGACATACAGTTTAGCCAACACAAGGTCACATAGTCTCAGATCATTAGTTCGAATTTTGAACTGCAACCAATTTTTTGACATAGTATAATCTTCATTCATTGTTTTCGGTAAATAGCTCGCTCGTTTTTGACTTAATTAGCTCTACAAATTACTTCTTACTATAACCTTGTAGAATTCATATCAAAAGTAGTCATTAGTGTAAATACGATTAACAATTGCTGTCTAACTATGGCCAGTTGGCAATGTAAACTATAAAGTCCATCAAACATTCTACGCCAATAAATAAATGATTAGTGTTGAGAGTATTTATCCAAAAAAATATACAACGTCTCTGCAAAACAATCTCAAGTACAAATATTTCTTAAAAATAAGCGTTTAACATTTTCTGAATTCAGAAAAAATATCTACATTGTTTTTACATTATCATGGTGATTGGATATACAGTGGGAGTAAAACCCTCCAAAAAATATGATCAAATATAACAAATAATAGTTGATTCCTGTAAACAACCGGCATTCCTAAAACCAGTTTGAAAATAAACGACTAACTGTCTAAATAAAAGAGAATGAATAGAATTCTTATAACTATAGATCTCTCAAATCTCTTGATGAATATTCAAGTTGAAAATAATGGTAAGAAGTAGTGTTGGAAACAAACAGAACCTACGGACAAGCTGTATAGAAACTTTTTCAGACAAGGTAACCAGTGATATGTTGATACGATGATTAGGAAATAAAATTTAAGCTCAGTTACTCTAACAGATTTGTTTCGGTCGTTTTTATTTGTAAGAAAAACTAGAAAAGGGGACAAACATTCTTTACTAACAAACGTTTTTAAGCATATTATTCCGATATCCAATTTTGGCTCGATAGAAATACATGAATAAGATTATAACCCTATTAGTTAGATTTGCAATGGACTGTACACTCAAAAATATCTGCCAAGACTTTCTACAGTTTAAAAGTTGCATTTTAATTCAGAAATAGACTTTGTAATATCGTCTTCCGATGAAGAGAAATTCAAAAGAACAAATGGTATTCATTCAAGTCAGTCAGCTACAACGTAGGACCAGGCACATATATGCATCGGTTCAAGGTTCCATATCGCATTAGCACAGCAAGATAAACACCGGATTCATAGTAGTTAATTCAATGATAATATTTAAAAGATAAGGATATAGTATAAGAAAGAATTAATACGTATAAATTTCATCCGGAATATTCATTACCATTATTTGACTTTGTCGAGTGTTTCCTCGAAATTCAGAGTTCCAGGAAGTGATCTGTTTTGGAATCTCCTACCTAGATGCTGGTATATAGATAAAATCAACGTGAATATGACGTCACCTTATTTAAGATATTCTGTATCTTGCACTTATGCAGTATGAAAGTCTATGGAGCGAAGGCACACTTGGCCAGCATGTTGCAATCTACGGTAGTGAACTTCGAAGAAAAGTTGAAAATGCTTCATACACTTGTCGACCTATTTGTACAAGACTAAAGAAGGCATTTTTTAAGAAACAATCGTCTACTTCATCATAACAAGAATTAAAGCTGTAGAGTTAATTACTGTCAGTTAAAATTGTGTAGATTTTCATTCTAAGGCCGAGTTGAACTACTATGCTACTTATCAAGACATTGGATCTCGAACAAATTACTCCATACATATATCTGTTCGCTGTTCACTGTCCCTTTGTCAGTTTAAAAAACTGTACACAATTATTTTATGGAAAACAGAAAGAATTAACAAGTCTTGAAAAATTACTGATTATCATATAACATTCTTATCACTATGCACTTTAGATTACTCACAGAGAAAACGTATCGAATGTAGATCAAGAATGAGTTATTATTTTTCGAATTAACTTGAAACACATGTACATCAAACAAATCTAAATTCTATGATACATTTATAATAGATAGCAGTTGAAATAATTGAACAGCTTCTACGAGAAATTTTATTTAAGAGATCGTTATTATTAGTATTATTAACCAATAAATTAGAAAACCAGGCTACCCTTGTTATAAAACAGAATGAAGACAAGGTTTATTACATTGATTTCTTGTTTCTCGTATACACAGAATGAAAAAAAAAACCCAAGATAAGTGGTAATAACCTTTCAGAAACAAATTAACATACAAGAAACGGAAACAAACAAACAAGAAGAGTTGATATGCACAATTGATATCTAATAACACATGATATAAGAGACAAATTATAGAGATAAAGAAAACTTCGAAACAAAACGCTGATAATGGTGATAATATATGAATGTATATAAAATGATAATACTGTACGAAGTACCACAAATAAACGAATGAGAAAGAAGACAGAAATAAATATGAGAGTACATAAAGTATTAAATAGGGCAGGATAAGTTTCAAACATTGGTATATTGAAGGTCAGAAAGAACACGGGAGCTATAAACAGCATATGTTGTCATCAAGTAAATTGCTTTTGCATACATACATATTTTATATATAAATATATTGTACGTGATTAGTAGATTTATATTTCTGCAAACAGTAAGGTTACAGTAAAAGGATCGGACATACATACATATGTATTCTGGAATGATACGGTTGAAATATGAACTATAAAGATTGACTGGAAAACTAGAACAATGACGTAGAATGAGAGAAATTCCGGTTTGAAACCATGTATATATATTATTTGAGCGCTATTTGTTTTTTTATTGTTGTCTACAGGCTTTTAACAATTGAGCACCATTACTCGCTTAATACAAAAGGACTATTAAAAGGGTTTTAGACAGTGGAAAATACAGTTATCATTGATACTTTAACCATGTACCGGATGATTGCATTCGACGAATTTTGGATCTGACAGCTGTAGCTGTTCTTGTTTCTTTCAATCGTGAAGAAGCTATACGAGATCGAACTTCACTAAGAGAAGGCAGTGTACCGCATACACCATTAGGTTTAGGATTTCCATGGAAGAACTCTTTAAAAAGTCGGCTAATTAGTCTGGTCTCCCAATCTGCAAATAATCGACTACCTCCGATATCTTCTTGTCCACGTTTTCGGTTATTCTCATTGACATACTCAGGAATATTTCTAACGGAAGGAAAGACATTACAGGCTTCCTGACTAGGTCTCTGGGATGAAGAAAATTGATGATTATTGGATGTTTGTTGATTCGGACAATGATTCGGGAAGTTGTGATATCTAGGTTGGGGATCCGGAAGAGCGTGTGTCTGATGCTGGTGCCGAAACTGACTTGTATGGGAAGGAAAGAATCGGACCATGGCTTGTTGTTCCTCGGGTGTAAATGGTAATCTAGTTAAGTAAGTTCGACCAGGAGGGGGAGTTAATTCACGATCATCGTCTATGTGAGAACGAACAGGAATGGGATAGGGTACATGAGACCGACCAGAGGCATCGCACACATTATTTAGATTCCAAGGAAGATGATTCACCCACCGTTGAATATGCATCATTCTCTCCTGACAAAAAATACAAGATTGGGTAAATGAAAAGAATGACATCCAAAACACATATTCTGATAACAAAGTGAAATACTCAATAGACAATTATCAGAAACATTAAAATGGTAAGGATATGAAGTCATTTATAGAGACTACGTGAAAAAGAAACATGTAGATATGATAACACAGTCAAGTAAGCCTGACACAAAGTAACAAAAAACACAATCAACAGAAACAGTATGAAAACTTTGTATAAAACTAGAAAATCCCGTCTAAGGTTAACACATTATTTTTGAGAAAAATGACTTATTTTTCAACACAAAACCAACGTGTATCTGTGTTACATACGAAGTAAGACGTTATAACAGAGGGTATATGGAATAATTTCGACGATTGCCTTTGCAATCTGTCGAAATGTGCTGGTACGGTGAAGGGTTGGGAAAGTCCGCTCTCCCTCTCGAAATACTCTCTGATAACTACGCATATACAGCAATTGTCAGGGAAGTCCTACTCATTGCCTTCTCGCAGCAGAGGCGTCGTTTGCGAAATTGAGGGGACGAAAAGCGAATGTTTGGAGCTTTAACCTGGTTGGTGGATATGGAGGTTCCACCTAAGGGAGTTGGAAAACCCTAATTCCAAAACAATGGTGCACATGAGTTCCAGGATCCTGACCAGAACAAAAGGCGTATGAACCTATTGTTAGTCACCGGCTACCATGGTACCGCATCTCGTAACGTTGCTCCACTGCCTTGTGGATTAGACATTTAGGTCAAAGACCCGGAGTGTGGCCCCCTAAGAAAACCACTTGCTTCGGTCTGGGCACCCGGGGAGTATCACGGCCCACACACAAATCGAATGATTTATGTGGCGCATATGTATTTGGTGACTCCTTGTACCAATGTTTATGTGTTTAAATACATAAATTAATTAATTAAAGTAACAACTACCGATAGATTGGATAAGATAATTACGGGGTAGCAATCAGAGAATCGGATAAATGTTCTTGATTCATATAAACAGTTAAGCTTATAATAGATGTAAATAATAATCAAATGAATGAGGTGTAGTTCATATTGATAATGTTAATAATTCACTTAGTAATCCTAATTTGTCAATAAATTTCAGTTACAAACACATGACAATTGAAAACTATGAATACTGATTTCACACGAAGATCCCGGAAGCTTTATAAATAAATGAACATGAACAAATAAAGATGGGATTTCTTTTCTAAGGATTTCACAATTATTATTAAACCATAAAGTGAAGTTTTTGGCATGATTATCTAGAAATATATCCGTAAATATCAGAGCTCTCGATAATCCAGTGTATTAATATCTAACAGTTAACACGTAAACTGGTTAATCTAAAAAGATTAAAAAACCCATCGTCGACACGAGAGAGCAAATACACTCAGAAGCGATCGAGAGTATAATATCCAACTATGTATATTTTTAATAAGTTCACACACACCAGCTAAATAAGGGATGGAAAATGATAATAAAAACTATCTAAGTAGAAAAGTGTGTCGACGGTGATAACTTCCTACATTAATCTATACAACAAAAACCGCAAACTTTTTTTCTAGTTGATAATGAAAACAAACTCACCGATTCTTTAGGTTTTGGTGGGAGATAAATAGTGCACTGATCGTTAGTATCCAATGGAATGTTAGCTGTTGTCGTAATGGGGGGGATAGTACAATTTGCTGACAGTGCAGAAGCATCACGTTTACATCCAGTTGCAATTGGACCAAGTGGTTCTGTGAAAACTGGTAGATCCATATCCTGGTTTCCATTTGAACGTGAGTGACGAGGCATAGTGACGATTACAGGTGTAATGATATTTGAACAGTGATCTCCAGAGCTCAATTGATGACGACTTTGAGTGTCAACACTTTGACAAGTTGGAAATAATGCGAAATGAGAGTGAGTTAGTGACTGTTTGGGACTCAGTACTCTTCTGATTGGCACAGACAATCCAAAAACTTGTGCGAAATGTTGGGTTTGAGCAGATTGAGTAGAGGAGGATGGACAATAATCACCAGTGACTGCAAACCATGGTAGAGTAGGATTTTGAACCAGCTATGGAAAGAAAATTTAAAAACACGATAGTACTAGAAGGGTAGTTGTAAGGAGGCACGAAACCAAAAAATATATGTGAATATCCTGAATTGTGACTGTCCTTGGTCAACAAAATGTATATTAACACTGTTTTTTGCAATCAAATACAATACAACACAAGATAGTGAAGTAAACAGACATAATCATATAGTCACCTCTAGATTATGAACTACCAAAAAAGTGTCGGCAACCATGACATTTTTAGAAAGAGGAAGTTACAGTGATGTAAGTCACAAATGAAGTACTTGAGAATGAGGTGAAGCAGATAAACTCAGGCTTCCCAATTGTAAATGACAAGAGCATTTAATACACCAAAATGAAAAACTTCTCAATTAAGGCTTTAGTTTCAGTAAACTTATTGAGTAATAGTTACTAACAAGTAACTATACCAACCTTTATAGTTAGTCAGCCCAATCCCCAAGTCTTCTTAGTTCTACCTCCCCTCAATTTATCTAGAATAGCATGTTGATGTGGAACTAAAGACTGAAGATGATCAGTAAACCGATTTTTGACGCTAGCATCTCATATATGAACAGATGATAGTACAGGTATATACATAGAAGTTATCGACAAACACAGACATCGGTACATGTTTACTTGTGTTATTGTCAATTATTTGTTAAATTTGCATCGTATTATTTTATATTACGAAAGTTTATTATACAAACGTTCGATGAACCTTAAAATAGACTTCAGTAAACTGCAGTTGGGGTTACGATCACGAGCAAAGGAAAACAATCGGATAAGTTAGGTTCCAGTAAGTTGTTTTAGGTAGTTTTCAGTTCACTGTAACAAATACATACATCAACAGCACAGCCAAAAGCAAATATTTGCTTTAATTTTGATAATGTGTAATACACAACAAACTTCTTATACTAGTAATAGGGGATAATAGAACCATTAATCTTAGGAAAACGAGAAATAGAATACAGAAGTAAAATGATCGACATAAAGAACAAGACAAAGAATAAATACATTTATTTCAGTGAGACAAGCTTCAAATGCATTTACCTACCCCTTAACCGCGAAATATAGATAACTTGTACAATACGGAGATCTATAAGTCCTCCATAGGCGGCTCACACTAGCAGTCAACAACCTTTAGTTATTTATTTGTTCAAACACAAACACTGGTACAAGGAGTCACCAAATACATATGCGCCACATAAATCATTCGATTTGTGTGTGGGCCGTGATACTCCCCGGGTGCCCAGACCGAAGCAAGTGGTTTTCTTAGGGGGCCACACTCCGGGTCTTTGACCTAAATGTCTAATCCACAAGGCAGTGGAGCAACGTTACGAGATGCGGTACCATGGTAGCCGGTGACTAACAATAGGTTCATACGCCTTTTGTTCTGGTCAGGATCCTGGAACTCATGTGCACCATTGTTTTGGAATTAGGGTTTTCCAACTCCCTTAGGTGGAACCTCCATATCCACCAACCAGGTTAAAGCTCCAAACATTCGCTTTTCGTCCTCCCAATTTCGCAAACGACGCCTCTGCTGCGAGAAGGCAATGAATAGGACTTCCCTGTCAGTGGCTGTATACGTGTGGTTATGTGCGAGTATTTCGAGAGAGAGCGGACTTTCCCGACTCTCGGCCGCACCAGGGTATTTCGACAGACTGCAAAGCCAGCTAAATGGTACGCTGCAGGTAAATCTGTACAACCCATGTCTTTTCCCAATAGCTGAATGATTCCCATATATAGATCTAGTCCGAGCATTGTTTACTGTGTTGCATACGGCGTTTCGGATATACTTATAATCGATTACTTGTGATTTATATATTTTATCCACTTCAATCTTTCATATTGGTAGGGTAAAAGATAGACCACTTCTGTGCAATAAACGTTTGGTTAGCGGGGAGATAACTTGTCCAAAATAAGAAAAACTAGTTAATTATGTGAAAGTTCCTACAAGCCACAAATATTGGAAAACCAGGCATACTCAATATACCATAGCACTAACAGCCGATTTGAAGAATAATCGCCCCTGAGGAATCTGTGTGCTAGTGCAGGGACTATATACAAGTTTGCATACGTGATGAACGTGGAAGTGTATAATATACCAACGACTTACATACTTATGAGTTGAAATGCCAAAAAGGCAGTATGAATCAAATACAAAAGTATTACTTCCAGTGGAGACATCTTTAAAACAAAAGTTTTGGTCGACAAATAGAGGCCTAAATCCTAACTTGAATTCGAACCGAACCCATTATTTCACAAATGATGAAATACAAAGCTCCTTTGAAGTATAATAAAGTACTTCTTCAATACATTACACAAGAGAATGGGTGGATACATGAATCTGGAATTTAGTACTGAATCATTTTACATTTATTACATGTCTAATTAAACGAACCCCTGAATACGATCTGAGGTTAAATAAAAATCATTTTTGTCATCTTGAAAATTAAAGTAACTGATGGGAGCATTTTAGAACTTATTACGAATATACTCACACTGAGGAAGGAAATTAGCATTACAATACAAAACCTGGAAACGTAATCAAGAATCTAAATGTGAGAAAACACCAGTTCAGACTTCGAAACGAAAAATTTACAGCCTTTTTGAGAACATTAAAGTCCTAATAACATAATAAAGATGAATCAGAAAACCAGTTTGGATAGAGTTCTAAAGCTTTAATGGAGAAGAATGTATTTTTAAAGTTTCAGTGAGTGAATTTGAAGTAAGTTCAACACTTCGCCTGTCAATCTAGTTCAAACATCATCAAGGAATTATAATCAAAATTACCATTAGTGTCTCATATCAACTCGGCGCCCAAATATAGCGAAACTATTCGATCAAATTAAGACGGAAGTTCTCATATAGTCATAAAAGCTGTTAATCTTCACAGGTAAGATCAACAGCTTTATTCATTATGCAAAGGACCCTAACAATCTAATTCGCTGTTACGTAGTACACTACGCTTTATTCTTAAACGCTTACATCTGGCGGTGATAGAGTTCAGTGATACAAACTAGTTGGAAAACAGTGTGTAATACTGTAGAAAACGACTTTTCTTCCCTTCTAGGAAACCGATTCAATTTCCAAAAGTTTTACCAGCTTTACAGATGTTTACGATATTCCTTACTAGAACCACCGCAGATCGGGGTCATGTTTGGTTTTCGTTACGAAAATAATACAGTTTGTCATCAATTTTACGACCACCCTACTGCATACCTAACATCAAAAGACAAAATCTCACCATTACTATTGACAACCAGCGAAAGTTGAGGGCCCCATGACAGGAACATGGAAACAACCAACGCTGTTGAAAGAAATGATGTCCAGCATGAAGAACTCAATAATGGACTGAGGTAGTCCTCATTTTAAAAATTGATGAGATTACGCCCTCTCGAGCACAGTGTAGTTAATACTTGCAAAAACTAAAGCTTTAATCCAAAACACAGGGTCAAACAGCACGAAACAACAGGGAGCGTTGCTGATCGAATAGCTCAAACAAATCTGAGACATTCGGTCTTATAGCTAACATAATAGTTGTCAAAAGTTATGATAACCTTATGATAAAAATACACATCTGGAGTACCTAACTATTTCAGGGTTTAAAGTATCGTTCGAAACAGCTGGGTTTACGCGCTCTTTACAAAAGTTATGGAACGTAACGAATTCAACTTTTACTTAACTAACTTTTTACTGCAATTATTAATTTGTCTCAATCTCACATTCGTGTTTTTGCTTACTTTAGTTGGTTGCTGTCATTCTTAGCTTGGTTGGTTCTCTCCAGAATTATATACTACACATATATGATCATAAACTAAACAATGAGGCCATTTCTGGTTACGCATTCAGCTTTCGTAAATGATGAAGGCTAGTTGTTTAGAGACTGAGGGTCATATTAGGAAATTACCTGATAAAAACCTGTTCATTTTAGTGGAGAGGGCCTGGATACTGAAGTAGGGATGAACAACGTCGAATATCAACGCGTCATGGAGAGGCATGGACTAGGACAAAGGAACTAAAATATCGAGAGACTGACGGACCTGCGTGATTTCACGAGCATGGTTATAGATGTTACTGTTTTTCACCTAAAAACGCACACACAAAGTTACACGGGTTCCGTCTGACTACTGTAGTGACCTACTTTTATGCGATTGGTTTAAAGGAAACAATTATTACTATAACCAGTTGTACCACGGATTGTTTTACAATACTTGTTTGTTTGTCTGTACCAAAACACATACATTCTTCCTTCCGTTGACTGTGACTGCATGAATTTGGTTACGCTCAGTAACCACACTTGTACTCCTTTGGCACTATCTCGGTATTCTTTCTATACCACAAGATCGCCAACAAATGAATCTCGACTACAGCCATCAACTGCCTTTTGATATTTGGCCTACAGGGGATCTTATCGGTTAACTGGCATGTAGTCTTCCTGTAGTGGTGATCATAGTCAACCACAACACAAAGAACTGAAACGCCAACAGGCCATAGGGCTCTTGGACCCAAGAAACACTAGAATAAAGGCTGAATCTCTGTAGACAATCTGTACAAGATTCAAGGAAGTGAAAACCAGAATAAAAACGTCTCTGACAGCTGAACAACTGTGAAGGAAGACGATGGTTGGACTGTAAATACAGAAGTAAGCAAATGAGGGACAATGACAACAGGACAAGCTGCAAGAGAAGGAAATAAAGAGAACTATATTACACAATCAACTAGTTGCCAGGAAAATATGATAGATCAGGTCGAGAAGGCAGGAACAAATAAGAAAAATCATCCGCGGAAATTCAATGGCATCGAAACAGATTATTAGAGAACTCTGAAGAGCGCTTCAACTGGCCAGAACCACTGGATTCATCAGACACTGGAGCAGCATCTGAAGGCCCTTTCAGTGATAGGGCCCCATAAAAATTCTCCACGTTCTCTTTACAAATATTTAAAAGGAGCAAAAACTACCAACCAGCTAGAAGAGAGAACACTATAAATATACCAAAGTAGATCTCGGAAACTGGAAGAAATACTGCTAACAGTAACTGGAACAGTTTTTCAACTGTGCTGTTGAACTGAACAAATCTCTAGAAGACACTCAACTTAGTGATCAATAGGCTGGATTCCGTAAAGATCAATTGTGTGCCGACCAAACTGCTACACTACGGATCCTCCTCGAAAAATCCATTGAATGGAACTCGTCATTACACATCAACATCCTTCACGATGTAAAAGCATTCGACAGCGTGTATAGGAAAACCCTGTGCAACTTCCTTCGGCACTGTAATGTACCTGGGAAGATTGTCGTCATACGAAATTCATACGACGGACTACATTGCAAAATCGTGAATGGAGGACAGCTGATAGATGTATTCTAAGTGAAGACCAATGTCCAACAAGGCTGTTTACTCTCACCTCTTCTTTTTCTTCTAGTGGACGACTGAATTGTGAAAACAACCACATACCAGAGGAAAAACGATTGGCAGAGGGCAATAAAGATGCAACAGTGTAACTTTGACTAAGCATATGACTAAGCCCTGATATTGCATACGTAACAACTAATTAAGATGGGGATAATCTGAGTAACAGTGGCTCATGAGTCAGTAGCCCTTAACATTCCTATGTTAAAAACAAGATTTGAAGTGCAACACAACAAATAACAACAAAATCACACAATATGGAAAAGTTCTTGAAGAGATGGATAGCTATGAATACCTGAGTAGCACCATTGAAAAGCATAAAAAAGAGAAACGAGGGTTGTATTCTAACTATTAAAGAACTTTTGGAAGGCAGAAGGACTATCAGGCAGCAGAAAATAAAAACTAAAAGAAAAACATCCGGAGTATAGTTGCTAGGTAAGGTATTATAGAACTCTTATACTTTTGCTTGAGTGCATGGATTTTAATGTAATTACGTCTCGTTCTACCAGAAGATATACAAGGAGAAAGACAAGAGTGAAGTGGAAGGTTAGTATCTGATAAAATAACACCTGCCAGGAGTTTGCATGACTTTAGATGTCTATCCACAACCATATTAATTATGAACTCGAAAGATTCACCACACATCTTGCTAACTGCCTTCAGCACTCTTCGCAATACAGCAAAGTCTTTTCTCAAAAGCCCGGGAAAGAATAATGGAGAACAGTAAAGAATAATAGGTAATATGTAAGAATTGACAAATTGTAAGAGTGAATGACGAGTAATCCCAAGAGCATGCAATCTCTTTATGTAGTGAGTCAGACGGAAAACCTTCTTCGATAACAATAAAACGTGAGACGACCAAGAGAGATCAGAGGGAAAGGTAACACCAAGATGATTGGCCTTCGACATTGTGTTTATCAAAGAGTCTCCGATGGCACAAGCATTATGGGATCTCAAAATGGTGTTTAGATGCCGTTCATGTCTCATGCTAAAGTTAACAGCTTGACATTTAGACGGATCAAGTATAAGACCATTACCAACAGACCAACAATCAATACGAGACAAAAACTCATTCATTCCTATGGGATGTAAAGAGGAAGAGATAGGCATACATACAGTGAGATCATCCGCATATTTCACAAGTGTTTTCTGTGGAAGATGACAGATCATGCAGAAAAAAAGAGAAAAGAAAAGGTGAAAGAACAGCTCCTTGTGGTACACCTTCATGAGACAGTAGAGACTCTGAACACATTCCTCTAAATGCAGTGTACTGTTCTCTTCCAGAGAAGTAGGAACATAGCCAGCTGGTTATCCAGCTGTCAGTGTTGATGCTGATTAACTTGTTAATTAAACGTTGTCTTGGTATAAAATCAAAAGCTGAAGTATAGTCCAGAAAAGCGAATCGAACATACTTCTTACCCTTTCCTAAGTTGAACACTATATTGTAATGCAGAACAGCAACAGCATCTAAGGTGCTTCTTTTGCATCTGTAAGCAAACTGATATGGATCAATATGCTCTTTTATCGCAGGCTGAATTGTAAGTATTAATAATTTTTCCATTGTTTTGAGGAAGGGTGAAGTTATTGCAATAGGTCTAAATTTCACATTCGTATCGCCAGATACTTTCTTGGGTACAGGGATTATCTTCATCTTTCTCCACATTTTCGCTATGAGATTAGATGAGAAGGATCTGTTAAAGATAGTCGTGAATGGATAACATAGGACGTCAGCACATTTTTTAAAAAGGTTTGGGATACCATCAGGTCCTAAACATTGGGATGAATTAAGCGATTGGAGATATCTTCGGACATCAGTTTCAGTGAAACTAGGAACACAGCTATTCTTTAAACCTGTGGATGAAGGGAGCATTACATCAGATGACTGACGTACAAAAGACTTATTTAAGTCACAAACATTCAGCTGGTTATCGGTCCTAATCTGTCTGTCACCTGTAAGTTCTTTAAAGAGTTTCCACATACTTGGGGTTTTTGCAAGACAAGAGTTTTCGAGTAAACATAGAGTTGAGACGTCTAATCTCTAGGTTTATCAGACCATTTAGATTACGAACTTCATTAGAGTTTTTCCCCTTGTACATTTTTTCTTTCACCCTCCGTAGTCGTTTTAGTTGTGAAGATGCAAGTCGACCAAAACTTACAAAAATGGTTTCAGTGGGACAACAAATATCAAAACAGAATTTAAGGTAACAAGTGATAACATCGGTAGTGATCTTCAGTGAGTCATCTGTAAATAATTCCCAGTTAGTCGTATGAAACATGTTTTTCAGATTTCGGATATATTCTTCTGAGTAATTCCTATATTTGACTTTCTTGGTTTGATGCTTTCCACATACTTTAGGTAGAACACGAATTATACAGTGATCCGAGCTAGACAATTGAGCACGTTTACGAGTCACATATATACCCACATCATTAGTGAAAACGAAGTCTAAATGAGCATCCAAACGAGTAGGAAAATCTACTACATTCTGGTGACCTAGTGACGTAAGGAACCTACAGTCACATGAATTGAAATCACCACATACAACTGAAAGTGAATCACTGAAAGCAGTAACAGCAAACTCAGTGAATTCATCAGCGAAAACAGATAGCGCAGATGGTGTGCAGTCTGGAGTCACGTAGACATTGGTAACATAAACATATTTGTATTTATTCAGATGTTTTGGACAACACCTTAGAGTTAGACAGTCGATAAAGTCATTTTAAAACTTGAAACACGCAAACGAAGATCGACACCAGTTCACGTTTACAAACGTAGCTACACCGCCGCCACACCTTTTTTATTGCTTGATCGATCCTGACGATAAATTTTGAAATCACGTAGTGAAACTAGGCAGTCGTCCTGTAGATCATTTAACCAGGATTCTTGAATTGTGGTGACACCACAATTACGATACATATTTTGACTTAGTAGGAATTGAAGATAGTTCACTTTGTTGATTAGTGATCGGCAGTTAGAATTTAGCAGCTCGGGAATCGACAAACGATTAATGTTCATTCTCTTTAACGCATATCGCCAACCACCGCGGTTTCTTTTATAGTACTTTTTTGTAACTTGTGCAGCGAAAGGTTGTAGGCTTTTCATAAACGCGCCTGCATAGATTATGCGATTAATGGACATAACGAGACGTTAGGACAAAATGAAAAAGCAGATAACCTGTTGAAATAATTAGATGGCAGAAACAAGTAGCCTAGATATTCAAACAAGCCGCCGGCTAATTGCAGGTGTTAAACGTCTCAGTGAGGCTGTTACAAGAATGCAAAGGGTCGGAGAACCAGGATCAGGTCACCACAACGACCGAGACCGAAGTCACAAAACAGGTCACAAATGTCCAGAAAATCTGTGCAATTCCATTGGTATCACTGGAAATTTGGTGTCAGCTCAAGCAAGTGCATGCAATCATTCGCCTGGCTTAAATATAATAACAAGAACATGGTAAACGAATAAGTCATACCCAGGTTTCGATGAATGAGGAGAGGCCCTTAAACAGTCGCTTATTTTATGTTAGAGATAGAAACTCTGGCTTGAACATCTTGGCAGATACTGGCGCTGCTCTTAGTATCATCCTTTAAAATAAAACTGAAATGGGTCGAGAAACATCCCCAGTTACACTTCAAGCTATCAATAAAACCTAAATTGCGACATTTGGGCGGAAAACTTTCACACTTAATTTCGGGTTCATGAGGCGATTCCCCTGGGTTTTCAATGTAACTGTTTTAGATCTGGCAGCACTGAAGATGGACTAAAAAAGGCTCTTAACACTGAAAGAAACTTAGAATTACACGAAAGGCAAATAAAGTTACATTTCATCTCTCAGCTTGATACAAACGCCTCCAGTAACAACTGCGAAATTCCAAGATATACTCGCTAGATTTCCAAAATTAACTAGACCAAACCCACAGCTTTCCAAACACAAACTACAAGCAAATCATACTATCAAAACCGAAGGTGCATCTGTGTTTGGAAGACCCAGGAGACATGCACCAGATAAGCTCAAAATTTCTAGAGCTGAATTTGAGTACTTGCTACAACTGGGTATTATCAGTCCCTATGATAGTCAATATGAATCCCCTTTACATATGGTCTCAAAGAAAAAGGAAGGAGATCGGCGACCGTGTGGGAACTACAGGGCCCTCAACCAAATAAATCGTACCAGATAGGTACCCAATACCGCATATCCAAGATTTCACAAACAGTTTACATGGTATGAACATATTTACTTAAACTGACTTAGGGCATATCATAATATCCCGGTGGCTCACGAAGTCATCCCTAAAACAGCTATTATTACACCTTTCGGCTTGTTCGAGTTTGTACGCATGCCATTCGGCCTGAGGAATGCAGCACAAACATTTCAAAGATTCATGGATAACCTACTTCGAGTTGCTCCATTTGCACGGGGGTATATAGGCAATTTGCTTATTGTCATCCTCGATTTATAATCACACGAACAGTATGTACGAGCAGTGTTAAAACGGCTGGATGAAAATGGAATGGACATGCATCAAAGTAAGTTTATTTTTGGTGTCCGATCTCCAGAATTTCTTGGGCATACAATAAGCCCGAAAGGGATTACGCTTATCAAAAAAGAAGTGGAAAACATTAAAAAATACCCCCTACATAGTTCTCTAACACAACTTAGAAGTTTCCTAGGTTTAATTAACTTTTATCGCAGATTCGTAGCCGGTTGTGCACAACTAATACAACCTTTGACAAATTTACTTAAAGGGAAACCAAAGGAATTCAAGCTCACTTTTAAGGCTGTTGAGGCTATTAAACAGCTAAAAGATAAACTGGCCCAAGCATCTACGTTGATGTATCCGAATTCTCTTTCCTCACTTGCTTTGATGATAAACGATTCGGAAAAAATAGTAGGCGGTACCCTTAACCAACTGGTTACAACGCCTAATTGCTTTCTTCCCAAAAAGACTCCAGCAGAGACATGGTATTCTACCTTCGGGAGAGAAATTCTTGTAATCTATCTGGTCATTAGACATTTCCAAGACAAGGCAGAGAATTCCTAGTTTTACGAACCACAAACCACTAACGAATGCATTGAAGCGAGAGTCGATAAATACTTACCTTGAGAAGTACAACACCTTGACTATATATCACACTTCACAAGTGATATCCGACATGTCAAAAGTCAGGAAAACCAGGCGGCAGATGCATTATCTCGACTAGAAATGAATGTGATACAACAGTCTACAGTAAACTTCGAGACATTGAGAGACAGACAAGAAGAGGATCAAGAATTACGAAACCTACCCACAACAAACAAGTCTAGTCTCAAACCAAGGCAGTTACCATCGTCTATTGACGGTACTCTTATTTACTGTGACACGATCGATGTAATGCCACGACCTTTCGTCCCCAAAAGTATGCGAAAACTAATATTTTGTAACTTTCATTCTTTATCTCATCCTCGTGCAAAATATTCGGCTAAGCTAATCAGTGCCAGATATATATGACCAAGTTTACAGGAGGATGTACACAAATGGGTTAGAGAGTATTCGACATGCCAACAATCAAAGGTTAATCGTCACATAAATTCACCTCTAGGTGTTTTCTTGCAACCAAATGCTCGTTTTTTCTATGTGCACGCCAACTTAGTAGGCCCTTTATCGCGTAGGAATGGTTTTAATTATCCGTTTACATGTACAGATCGGTTCACGAGATTCCCTATAGCCATACCAATAATGGACATCACAGCTGAAACAGTGGTCAAGGACTTCATGCAGGGGGGGAAACACGAGAAATCCATCGCCCTTCTGAAACCTGGATTTTCGAAAACCAAGTACCAAAAATCGTAAGGGGATACACTTGTGCATGCATATGTATATGAATTTCTTGAGTCTGAACTTACGCAGTCGTGCATGTGAGTATATACAAGGAGAAAGTGCCGGGCTCGATCACAGAGAGCGAATATGACAGTCTGCTTCAGTCAAAAAGGCCTTACCAGGTTTGTGAACAAAAGAAGTGAATAGCAAATATTGGTAAAACGAGTGGTGACGATCTGCCTTTCCGTAGGAGCGCGTATACTAATGTGTATGCCATAAGATAGATGAGCAGAAACCTATGTGTTGCCGATATGCATGTACCCGTCTAAGGCACAACGGCCAGGAGCTGGAACAGTTTTCTCTCAAAAACACATACTAGTGACGTGGTGTGTTTGATCTGAAGAACAGCACGTCTCAACGGAAGAGCCAACTTGATTTACCTTAAGAGGCTTAGCCAAACTAAATGGATCTGGGTCGGTACCACACGTTTTAAACGATTAGTTTGTTAGTAACGTCTCTTATTATTTTTTCAGCCAGGGATGATCGTCTTAGGGGGCCTTTTTAGAAAGTTGGGAAATCGAAACATTCGGCTCTTCTGAACTCTTCTTGCAACCAACAAGATTCCTGTCTAGCGATGTAGCTCCAGAAATCCTACTGGTTTGAGACAAACACAGGTGGATGCAATCAAGACCTTAGCCACACTTAGCTTTATCCAGAGACGATTTAGCGAGTTTTCTTCAGAGTTATTTCAGGCAGTATTCAAAATATACATCAGGCTACATCTAGAAACTCACGACGTTGCAGCACGTCTTCTCAAAATCAGAGCTAGGACTCTTTTGAAGAAGTTCAAAAATTCATCACTAGTGTGTTGAAGATTAGGAACAAATCATATTCAGGCCGTCTTAGTTGCCCAATATCGTTTCTGTTAGTCCCCGGAAGACTGCGAGACGACCTGATCATGGCTTACCGAATACTAAGTGCTTCTGAGTACACGAATTGAGGATATACTACCTGAGTTTGACTAATGTACCTCAAGAAGCAGTTCAAAACGAATGGCATATCAGAAAGGCGGCTTCCAGACAATATAACACTTGTCTTTAATAGGAGCCAACTCCAACTAGAAGTTTCTCTCAGTAAATAGCTGTCAGAGGAGGCATGGTAGACAAGTATTCATAGATGGTTAATCATAATTCTCCTAACGCAATGTAATATTTAGATGCATTTGAATTATTGTGCGAGCTAGCTTTCCTCGAATCAACGCAGTTTAAGCCATACAGGACTAGGTGAGGACAAACAAATGTACCCGGAGTTCGAAACCAGATAGTCACCAAGTACAAAAGAATCAATAGTTTTTACAAACACCACATGTATCTGTACCTAACACATGTTTCGTACCTTCTCATTGCTTTCAACATTATCCCTATTATTATTATCATCATCATTATCGCCATCATTATTATCTCTACCATAATTACTACCACTATTATGAACCCTACTCACACGTTTGCGTAAAAATTGTATTTACGGGTTCTGAGTTATCTTTTCTTTGCTTTCGTACAATCTGGCTTTTTAACTCTTCAAGTCGTAAGTAGGCAACCTTCTGTCCAGTAATGTAGCGGTTGCTTGTTCGAACAACCATAGTGTCTTAGAACAAATAGATTCATTAGATCCAAGATATATAAAATCCTAGTTGTCTATCATATACTCTAGGATTAGCTCAATAAAAACTCTGAACATGTGTTATCGGCACTTTTCATTAATATGTTTACATTAATGCAGATCTTGTGGGTAACAATTGGCTTGTGACCCCAGTTCCTTGCCATTGAATGATGAAGACAGAAAGTACATGGAAGTTTGTGTACAATGTGCAAGTAGTTGCGTTACTGTAATTTTGACTCAGCCTTCGAAGAGTAAGTATGTGCGGTCAATATACATATATTTAACCCACAATCCCCTGTTACACAGCGTGATTCATTTTGTTATTTGTATGCGTTTTGTTGGAGATTTAAAGCCATTTCCCTTGCTTCATATAGCGGTAAGACTATAATATGTGGACGACCTTGGAATGACGTTTTGTCTCCCACATTAAGGACTTCACTTTACTTTCAATTATTAAAAAAACAAAATTTGATCAGTAATATCAAACTGTTTTAGTGGGGATGCAGTTCATTAGTATAGTGGATCAGTTACTCAGGTTTGAACCCTTATCTAGTTTCTAAGATTGTGTTGGTCAAGTAGTATCACTGGTTGCTACTTAGTATTTAGCTGGTGATTTTATGCAATATTGTGTGGTTATGTAGTTGCATTATACAAGCCTGAAAGTTTGTGTGTGCCTAATTGAATAATAAAGAGTTTGGTACAGCATTGGGACAGAAAGATAAAGGAAACAGATTTAGCTTGGTTTTACCAAGTGCACACTGATGCAACTAATCTATGTCTGTATATTTTTTATATTTACTGACAATTTCGGGACAATTTTGGTGCTTTGGTTCGTTGATCATAAGAATGTACCAACCACTAATATTGAAATCGAGGGACCACACCATTCGCAAAGTTTTCCCAGATTTCTGTAGTCATAGGAAATTTCCATTGCTTTTACTTGTTAGAGGCTTCCATATATCCTAGGTTATCAAACAAATATATATTTAAAAACGGCTTTATTGCAAGGTGTTGATTAGTAAACCAGTTTCATTGTACGAGTGGAAACTTTTGTTTACACACGTAAAAAGTTTTATAGCTTTAAAATTGGCAGCCGTCTGCGTTGTCGACTTCCTCAAAAGACAGCATTCACCATTTCTCCACCTGTCTCGGAAAGAATGGAAAAACAAGACTTAGAGTCAGTGAAAAATCGGTATTTCGATACACCAGTTTGGTCCTAGCCATATTGTATTTTTTCATTTTTCAGTCGTTAGCCACATTATTGGTAAAGGATAGTAATACTACACAGGTCCTCAAGTTAGAGCTCGTACCTGTGGCTTTTTACTTAAAAGGCATCAACACATATTTTACTTCATTTCTCTTTGATTTTACCACACGAGTCTTTATATATGTAAGCGGGATACATATTAGATTAAAGAACGTTCCATGTAGTATAGTGTTGGGGCACGCTGCTTGGCTACTTCTTATCCAATGAGCGCTAGTGGATACTTAGAGAGGACTCCAGGATCTTTCCATGCAAAAATTATAATTATACTAACGTTTTTCTCATTGTGATTCCTACTTCATTTAACCTTTTCACTTGGGATATAATTACGTTCCTGTTCAATCGTGTTCTGATTTGGAGACTTATCGAGTGAAGTAGTATCTGAGATTACTAAGCAATGAGAGTAGCTGGGTCGTAATAAGATAAATTATAATAGTGGCGGCGGGGAAAGAGGAAAGCACACTCAAAATGTCGATATCAGGTGATCATCTTAACCGAATACTACAGCAATGGCAAGCACAACTTGATGCATAAATGCTACTGTTGGAGACCCTGATGCAACAACGTAACAGCGTAACTCCTCAAGTTCGCGCCCCATTCCAAGTACTTTTTTAGATGGCCTGCATGAATATCTAGGCTACTTGTTTCTGCCATCTAATTATTTCAACAGGTTATCTGCTTTTTCATTTTGTCCTAACGTCTCGTTATGTCCATTAATCGCATAATCTATGCAGGCGCGTTTATGAAAAGCCTACAACCTTTCGCTGCACAAGTTACAAAAAAGTACTATAAAAGAAACCGCGGTGGTTGGCGATATGCGTTAAAGAGAATGAACATTAATCGTTTGTCGATTCCCGAGCTGCTAAATTCTAACTGCCGATCACTAATCAACAAAGTGAACTATCTTCAATTCCTACTAAGTCAAAATATGTATCGTAATTGTGGTGTCACCACAATTCAAGAATCCTGGTTAAATGATCTACAGGACGACTGCCTAGTTTCACTACGTGATTTCAAAATTTATCGTCAGGATCGATCAAGCAATAAAAAAGGTGTGGCGGCGGTGTAGCTACGTTTGTAAACGTGAACTGGTGTCGATCTTCGTTTGCGTGTTTCAAGTTTTAAAATGACTTTATCGACTGTCTAACTCTAAGGTGTTGTCCAAAACATCTGAATAAATACAAATATGTTTATGTTACCAATGTCTACGTGACTCCAGACTGCACACCATCTGCGCTATCTGTTTTCGCTGATGAATTCACTGAGTTTGCTGTTACTGCTTTCAGTGATTCACTTTCAGTTGTATGTGGTGATTTCAATTCATGTGACTGTAGGTTCCTTACGTCACTAGGTCACCAGAATGTAGTAGATTTTCCTACTCGTTTGGATGCTCATTTAGACTTCGTTTTCACTAATGATGTGGGTATATATGTGACTCGTAAACGTGCTCAATTGTCTAGCTCGGATCACTGTATAATTCGTGTTCTACCTAAAGTATGTGGAAAGCATCAAACCAAGAAAGTCAAATATAGGAATTACTCAGAAGAATATATCCGAAATCTGAAAAACATGTTTCATACGACTAACTGGGAATTATTTACAGATGACTCACTGAAGATCACTACCGATGTTATCACTTGTTACCTTAAATTCTGTTTTGATATTTGTTGTCCCACTGAAACCATTTTTGTAAGTTTTGGTCGACTTGCATCTTCACAACTAAAACGACTACGGAGGGTGAAAGAAAAAATGTACAAGGGGAAAAACTCTAATGAAGTTCGTAATCTAAATGGTCTGATAAACCTAGAGATTAGACGTCTCAACTCTATGTTTACTCGAAAACTCTTGTCTTGCAAAAACCCCAAGTATGTGGAAACTCTTTAAAGAACTTACAGGTGACAGACAGATTAGGACCGATAACCAGCTGAATGTTTGTGACTTAAATAAGTCTTTTGTACGTCAGTCATCTGATGTAATGCTCCCTTCATCCACAGGTTTAAAGAATAGCTGTGTTCCTAGTTTCACTGAAACTGATGTCCGAAGATATCTCCAATCGCTTAATTCATCCCAATGTTTAGGACCTGATGGTATCCCAAACCTTTTTAAAAAATGTGCTGACGTCCTATGTTATCCATTCACGACTATCTTTAACAGATCCTTCTCATCTAATCTCATAGCGAAAATGTGGAGAAAGATGAAGATAATCCCTGTACCCAAGAAAGTATCTGGCGATACGAATGTGAAATTTAGACCTATTGCAATAACTTCACCCTTCCTCAAAACAATGGAAAAATTATTAATACTTACAATTCAGCCTGCGATAAAAGAGCATATTGATCCATATCAGTTTGCTTACAGATGCAAAAGAAGCACCTTAGATGCTGTTGCTGTTCTGCATTACAATATAGTGTTCAACTTAGGAAAGGGTAAGAAGTATGTTCGATTCGCTTTTCTGGACTATACTTCAGCTTTTGATTTTATACCAAGACAACGTTTAATTAACAAGTTAATCAGCATCAACACTGACAGCTGGATAACCAGCTGGCTATGTTCCTACTTCTCTGGAAGAGAACAGTACACTGCATTTAGAGGAATGTGTTCAGAGTCTCTACTGTCTCATGAAGGTGTACCACAAGGAGCTGTTCTTTCACCTTTTCTTTTCTCTTTTTTTCTGCATGATCTGTCATCTTCCACAGAAAACACTTGTGAAATATGCGGATGATCTCACTGTATGTATGCCTATCTCTTCCTCTTTACATCCCATAGGAATGAATGAGTTTTTGTCTCGTATTGATTGTTGGTCTGTTGGTAATGGTCTTATACTTGATCCGTCTAAATGTCAAGCTGTTAACTTTAGCATGAGACATGAACGGCATCTAAACACCATTTTGAGATCCCATAATGCTTGTGCCATCGGAGACTCTTTGATAAACACAATGTCGAAGGCCAATCATCTTGGTGTTACCTTTCCCTCTGATCTCTCTTGGTCGTCTCACGTTTTATTGTTATCGAAGAAGGTTTTCCGTCTGACTCACTACATAAAGAGATTGCATGCTCTTGGGATTACTCGTCATTCACTCTTACAATTTGTCAATTCTTACATATTACCTATTATTCTTTACTGTTCTCCATTATTCTTTCCCGGGCTTTTGAGAAAAGACTTTGCTGTATTGCGAAGAGTGCTGAAGGCAGTTAGCAAGATGTGTGGTGAATCTTTCGAGTTCATAATTAATATGGTTGTGGATAGACATCTAAAGTCATGCAAACTCCTGGCAGGTGTTATTTTATCAGATACTAACCTTCCACTTCACTCTTGTCTTTCTCCTTGTATATCTTCTGGTAGAACGAGACGTAATTACATTAAAATCCATGCACTCAAGCAAAAGTATAAGAGTTCTATAATACCTTACCTAGCAAATATACCCTGTGACGAACAGGTTGTTGGAGTTAACCTAGTCAATAACCTGCATTCTTAACATGTCTCTAATTTGAAAAATTGTACAGTTTTTTCAGATTTTTTAAACCCTTTTTTACCTTTTTGTCTTTGTTTCTGTTTTTCTTTTGTGTTAGAAACTTGTTGAAATACCCTGTGCTGATAATTCCATATTGTACCAAAATATAATATTGAATAAAGCCATTAATAATAATATTGCATTTGTCATTAGTATTCCAGAATTCATCTATGACGCTGAAAGTGTAGATACTTTTCTCACGTGGTTCAAGCGTTGGGAAGATACATCAAGAATAGGATTCTATAAACAAGATGACCAGTGGGAGACTCGATTGTTGATTTGTAAGTTTGGAAGCCATGAACATTCACGTTGTACTAACCATATATTGCCAAAGTTACCTTTGAGCCCAGTTTCGTGGAGACGGTAACTCAATTGTCAAAGATATTCGGTGAATCCTCCTCATTGTTTAGTATTCAATATCAGTGTCTAAATTCCGGTGAAACTCGAAGCCGATGCTCTAGCAGTTATTATTATTATTATTTATTATTTGAACACATAAATATTGGTACAAGAGAGCGCCAATATATATGCGCCACACAAAACAATGGGAATTCGAAGAGAAGTAAAAAGAAAAAAAAAACTAAGGAACGCAAAAGAAAAAGAGAGTAATGACGAAGAGGTACAATCAGAAGAAATCTTTCAGGTAAGGGAGACACAACCACTTTTTATGAAGGAAGTAAAAGAAGGTTACAGCAGGATCGCCACTGGCTTCTATTCTGAGCCATATCTGATAACGTCTCTAGCCACTGTGTAGCACCATCTCTCGGACCCCAACCAGAGAGTCGTGAAGGACCAACACAAGCCAGTCCTTTGCAGCTTTCTTTCATGCCACGACACCATGTCATGCACTGACCACCTCTCCGCTTCTTCCAACCAGTCCCAGAGTCGGCAAATAATGCACGACGTGGAATTCTCTTGGACGACATTCGGAGAACATGTCCAAGCCACCGAAGTCGGTGTTTCAAGATGGTGACACCAATTGCATTATCATCTCTGTGCCCAAACACACGATGCCGAACCTCTGCATTACTGACATGGTGTTGCCACTGAATGTCAGCAATCCTTCGGAGACAGCGATGATCGAACACAGAGAGTCGTCTAACGTCCTCAACTCGGAGAGACCAGGTTTCACAAGCATAGAGCAAAACTGCTCTCACCGACGCGTTGTAGATCCGACCTTTTACAGCCAGACTAACATCACGAAGGCGCCAAAGGTGGCCCAGATTGGCATAAGCCGCTCTGGCTTTCACAAATGATGAACTCTTTATGTCAAATGATGCTCTAGCAGACGTCGTCAACAGAGAGTGTGAACGGTTCAAGTTACGCTCATTGACAGAAGACCAATTTAAGTACTTAATATTCATCAAAGCTCTTCAGTCACCACAAGATGATGAGATCAGGACTAGACTTTTTACTCGATTGGATCAATATCTTAACGTCACACTCAAGACATTGATGGATGAGTGCAAGCGGCTACAAAACATCAGACACAACAATGAATTGATTGATCAGGTAAATCCCAATTTAACCTGCAGTAATATGAATGCTATTACCAGGTTAAAAGCTCATCTCGTAACAAACCAACGACTCCGTGTTGGATATGTGGTGATTGACATTATGTAGGATTCTGTCAATTTAAGAAGCACAAATGTCAGGTGTGCAACAAACGTAGACATAAAGAAGGTTATTGTCCACCAAATCGTACGTCCCATTCCAAGAAGAAACATAAATATCCTCGACATGTGGTGAAGTCAGCCGACTCTAAATCTTTCTCTGATAACAACCTTCCAAACAGACTGTGACATCCGTAGAAAGTATGTTGCTATCCAGATTAACGACATATCAACTCGTCTTCAAATTGACACGGCATCCGATATCACCATAGTGTCTAGAGAAACGTATAACCTGATTGGAAAATCACCAGTGAAGCCATTTGAGAAAACTGTTAGGAACGCATCAGGAGGCGTGCCGAAATCGGATAGCGAGTGTGAATGTTCCTTCAATGAGACTAACTGTATGGGAATATGTTATCTAACGGAACGGCTATACTTTGATCTTGGTCTAAATATGTTAGGAAAACTTGTAATAATGAATTTACTCATTAAGTGTCTGCGACGTGCTGTGCTCATCATTGGACACCCCGGTACTTGCAAAAATGACAGGTAAAAGGTTGCTAGAAAAAGTGAAGAGAAAGTTTGCCTCTGTTTTTCAGAATAGCCTTGGTCACTGCACCAAGATGAAAGCTCACTTGCCAGTGAAGCCAGATGCTAAGCCTATTTTTCATCCGAGATGTCCTGTACCATATGCTGCTTTTGAAATAGTTGATCAGGAACTTAATCGTTTGTAACAGGCTGGTGTAATCCAACCAACTACTATGCATGGCGCGCACCGATCGTAGTGATTAAGAAGGCCAATGAAACTACACACATATGTGCTGATTTCTAAACCGGTTTAAATGCTTCATTGGATGTGTATCAGTATCCCTTACCAGTCCCTGAAGACCTGTTTGCTAAGATTAATGGCGGAATGTGTTTCGCGAAAATGGACTTCTCCGACACCTATCTACAAGTGGAAGTAGATGATGATAGTGGAGAGCTTCTGACTATCAAAACTCATCGAGGTTATTTCAATACACCCGCCTACCATTCGGCATCAAGACCGCGCCTGTCATCTATCAGCAAATAATGGTCACGATGTTAAGTTATACTTAGTATAGCAGCTTATCTAGATGATATCATAGTTACAGGCACAACTGACAGTGGACATTCTGAACGACTACATCAAGTTCTTAACCAAGTGTTGGGGTATGGTTTCCGACTACGTGAATGAAAGTATCTTCATTCATTTGATCAAATACGGTCGCCGACCAGACCCTGCCATTCAGAAGATCCTTGCACCAACTGGTGTCCCTTCATTAACTCCCTTCTTGGGACTAATTAGTCACTAGAGCACATTTCTATCCCCTGAATAGAATACTATCAAAAATTAGATTTTGACAATGGTCAGGAGAATGTCAAATATCTTTCGACAGTCAAACCAATGCTCAACTCAAAGCTTCTTTTAACACACTTCGAATACATATGCACCACACAAGTTATTTGATTTATGTGAGGGCTAGGATACTCCCCGGGTGCCCAGACCGAAGCAAGTGGTTTTCTTAGGGGGCCACACTCCGAGTCTTTGACCTAAATGTCTAATCCACAAGGCAGTGGAGCAACGTTACGAGATGCGGTACCATGGTAGCCGGTGACTAACAATAGGTTCATACGCCTTTTGTTCAGGTCAGGATCCTGGAACTCATGTGCACCATTGTTTTGGAATTAGGGTTTTCCAACTCTCTTAGGTGGAACCTCCATATCCACCAACCAGGTTAAAGCTCCAAACATTCGCTTTTCATTCTCTCAATTTCGCAAACGACGCCTCTGCTGCGAGAAGGCAATGAATAGGACTTTCCTGTCAGTGGCTGTATACGTGTGGTTATGTGCGAGTATTTCGAGAGGGAGAGCGGACTTTCCCGACTCTCAGCCGTATTTGGGGGCGCTTGAACAGTTGCACACAGGACATCCTGTAATAAATCGCATGAAAACGATAACACCAAGTTATGTATACTGGCCGCATTTAGACACCCAACTGGAGCAGCTATCCACTTCGTGTATCGAATGTGCATTAGCAACAAAAGTACCGCGGAGAGCAGATCTGCAGTTGTGACTAATACCACAGTCGCCGTGGTAGCGTATGCATTTGGACTTCGCCAGTCCACTTCACGGACAAACTTACATTTTGGTAGTTGATGCATACGGCAAGTGGCCAGAAATTCTTCTCATGGAACATCCAACTGCAAGCTGCACAGTCAGAAAACTGCGTCAACTATTTATTCGTTTCAGGTTTCTAGAACTAATAGTTAGCAACCATGGAACACAGTTTACACCCCCTATCTTCTCAGAATTTTGTCGGCAGAACGGAATCCATCATGTCCAAACACTTACATTCCATCCCCTATCCAATATCCAAGTAGCACGCTTTGTTGGTACATTTAAGAATTTTCTGAAAAAATCGAAAGGAGGGACCACCGAAAAGATCTTAGAGATTCATGCTTATCTATCGTTCTACACCGAGCACTCAGACAATTAACGGAGTCTCTCCAGCAGAAGCTTGAATTGGTAGGAAAATACGAACACATTTCGATGTCATTCGACCAACGCCAGTCCTTGAGTCTTAGCGAAACGTATCGATGGAGAAGCAGTTCATTTGACATCATGGGGGACGAAGACGATTGTTCACGGTGGGTCAAAAAGTACTTGCTATGGACTATCATGGAAAAAGCCCTGCATGATTAGCTGATCGGATCGTACAAAAAAAGCAAAGTGTGGTTTACGAGGTGTCAGTTGGCTCAGAAGTTTGGGAGCATATTGCCAACCAAGTGAGAGGAACTTCGGTCGCCAACAACGAAACTCGACATAGAATACCTACTGGTGTTCTGCTGTACACCTTTAAAATCAAAATCTTTGGAACAGACAGGTCGATCTCCGTGCAACTAAAGAGTGACACCACTTCCTTATTGCCCAAAAGGTAGATAAATTGAAAGCACAGACCAGGTGGGCCCTAATATCAGATCCTACGAAACTGCTCGAAGGGGAAGTGTTATCGACATACAGATTGGATTAAAGAACGTTCCATGTAGTATAGTGTTGGGGCACGCTGCTTGGTTACTTCTTATCCAATGAGCGCTAGTGGATACTTAGAGAGGACTCCAGGATCTTTTCATGTAAAAATTATAATTATACTAACGTTTTTCTCATTGTGATTCCTACTTCATTTAACCTTTTCACTTGGGATATAATTACGTTCCTGTTCAATCGTGTTCTGATTTGGAGACTTATCGAGTGAAGTAGTATCTGAGATTACTAAGCAATGAGAGTAGCTGGGTCGTAATAAGAGAATTATAACAAGATTTATTCCAAATAACCTTAAAAATATTTTATTGGGTAACCAAATTTTATTTATAGTTTCAGGGATATATATTATCAGCCTCATAATATTTGTATTACATATTCCAAAATTTACTGTAACTGGATAATAGGGTGTTTTGAATTGACGTATTCTAGTAACATCCAAGTTTGTAGTCTTAATTTTATTAATTTAAATCCTTAAACTAACTAATGACAATTTTATTCCAGAAAGTATCATGTTGTATGTATAAATGATTGGTAGAAAAGTAATATTAACTGAAGCGAAATCTGGTAAACGATCCAATCGCCAGATTAAGGAATGGTTTTGTAAGGTTTTATTTTAGAAACGACGAGTTTTCTAGATTTCTTGAATATTTATATCTGTACACATCTAGTGCGTACCTTCTTAATTTACTGTTACTCTATATAGTAGTCGTAACTGGTTTCCTCTTATCCTTGGTTTACAGAAGTCTACTGAAACGTTTTTGGCAATATTTGATCTGAGATATGTTGTTTTGTGCTCTAGCTCTACAAGAGTCCTGTTCACATGGAACGTAATTTTTTCTAAACATACCCAGAACTCATATATGTGATCATATTATCCCAAATTTTTTCGATTCTGGGTTCTAGAAATGAAAGGTCATTCCAATTCAACGTTGCCTCCGGGATCAGTTCTAATACAATCTGGTCAGGCCATTTCTCAGACTTCTGGCATAGCCACTCTCCAAACTAACAGTGTCACAAGTGGTCCACAGAATCTCCAAGTGTGGACTCCGTCACCATCTGGAGCTATTACGGTTTCGGGTATCCCATCATCAAGGAGTTCTGCCAACTTGGTTACTCTCCCCTCTGGCCAGACTGTATTGATGGCCAATTTGGTAACAACGGCTACCACAGCACCGATTTCTCTTTCAACATCTTCAATTGCTAAACAACAAATCCAAGTTCCAACGGGTCTTCCACCTGGTGGGCCCATTGTCATATCTAATCCCAATTCTGCTGGTCCACTTGCTACACAGCTCACGAATCCCACTGTCATACAAGGTCCTAACGGTCAAATGTCAGTGGCATTACCAGGTGGCATAATAAGTAGCAATACATTAAACTCATTCAATAGTTCATCCACTGCCTTTGTTTCAAGCACATTGGGAAACATATCTACCGATCAACCTGTACATATCGCTCAGATTGTTGATAATCATTTGCGTCCAGGAACGGCTTGTTTCACAACAAATGCTGGCTTTCAGGGAATAACACCTATGAATCAAGTACTTTTGGACTCAACAGGTTTTAATCTTGGCAGTGCTCAAACACAAAACAAGTTGATTAATATGTCGTCCATCAGACCTCCTGGACTTGTGTCTTCTCCCATGCAACCAGTTCACCCTGGTAATTCGTTCGCTGCAGCTGCAAATATTCCTAGAGGTTTGTCTGTCAACCTTTCTTCTGACATCACAAATTCGCAGTCAAAACCATCAGTTTCTCAACCAGTCATTGTCTCTACTTCAAATTTGCCTGTTCAAGAAGCAGCTATATATCCAGTTCAAGATGAATGCTCATCGGCAATGCAAAATGGTACTCCTACTTCGGGTCCAGTTACAACATCTGTGGTTGATGTTAGCTCAACTAACAATCCATCTATTTCAACTGCTGGAGTTACTGTCGTCGAAATACCTTGCTCACCTGAAAATGATCAAACAAATCTCAACTCAAAGTGCATCACTGATGAGCAAACCAATTCCGTTTTCACATCAAGTTCCTTATCTGAGTTGTTAACTGAATTTGAACCTCATTTACAACTAGATCCTGATGTTGAAGAGGTATGTTACTAATTATTTTATTGCTTGCCTTTTACCTATACAAGACAGGAATGTAACCATATTCTGATATTATGTCTTTCTAGTTAAAAATTTTAGTTGTTAAGTCTTCACCGTCGTTTTGTACAAAATCGTGAGCTTTTTAATTATTTTAAAAACACTGGATCAGTTCGTTTTGCCGACCTTAATTGTCCTCATTCGTTCTTAGTCTTTTTGACTTTGTTCAATGGATTAAGATGGCTGTAAAATGTCTATCACATGTGTCCAGTTACCGTCTACCTCGTCGAGAAATGTTGGCTGATGTAACAATAACTTGGAAAAAAGGTAGGAGCGTTCAGTATTGGTTATCTTAGTAAGTAGTAGGAGAACAAACACAGTTTAAAGAGTTTATATAATTCAGTTCCTTATCATTTCATTTCCTGAAACGGACAGGTCAATAAAAGACAATAACTAAGCACTCATACAGGTTCAAATTTTCTTGATGCTTCACCACTGTTTTTCTTTGTGCTTATGTTATTATTTCTCTTATTATGACTCAGCTACTCTTATTGCTTAGTAATCTTAGATACCGCTTCACTCAACAAGTCCCCAAATCAGAACACGATTGAACAGGAACGTAATTATATCCCAAGTGAAAAGGTTAAATGAAGTAGGAATCACAATGAGAAAAACGTTAGTATAATTATAATTTTTACATGAAAAGATCCTGGAGTCCTCTCTAAGTATCCACTAGCGCTCATTGGATAAGAAGTAACCAAGCAGCGTGCCCCAACACTATACTACATGGAACGTTCTTTAATCCAATCTGTATGTCGATAACAACTCTGTTAGCCAACTGTAGCTGAAGAGTTACTAAGGCTACAAACCGTTTACACGATACTCAACCTTGGCTGATAATATCACGTAGATATATGTATGATCCAAGTTAGAAGTTAAGTACTTTGTATGAAATACTTTCTAAATGCCTTTGTTGTGGGACTTGGAATCATGATATCCTCTTATGATACATTTCAAAGTTTTGAGTTATAACAAGTTTCTGATAATTATTGTTATCAATATTTATGTTCTCCCGTTAACCTTTAGAAATATTGTAGTGAAGTTGAAATGATACACCATTGATCCTGTAGTAGTATTTTCTGTGTATATCGAGTAATATATATTTTAGATTTTAGTAGTAAACCCACCAACATAATTTAGTGAAATCACTCTGTTGTTAGTACCTCCATATAAACTGTTATGAAGAACTCTTTCAAAAAAATATTAGATCAAAATACGCAAGCGAACAGTGTTTTCGTTTGGATCTTCATCAGAATTTACTCTAATATATAGTAATCCATTTATATACATATATGAAAAGTAGTAAGTCAATCATAACAATTTATGAGTCAGTGATAATGAAAAGCATTAAATAACTAATCATAATAAGTAGAGAGTATAAGCATGATAGTAAATATAAGAACAGTATGACATGAACAAATATGTATCGACATAGGTAGTAGGCAAAAACTTGAAAAAAAAGAACTTACTAAAATGGTAATTATTATAATTTATTTATCTGAACACATAAATATTGGTACAAAGGGTTACCGAATACATATGCACCACACAAGTTATTTGATTTATGTGAGGGCTAGGATACTCCCCGGGTGCCCAGACCGAAGCAAGTGGTTTTCTTAGGGGGCCACACTCCGAGTCTTTGACCTAAATGTCTAATCCACAAGGCAGTGGAGCAACGTTACGAGATGCGGTACCATGGTAGCCGGTGACTAACAATAGGTTCATACGCCTTTTGTTCAGGTCAGGATCCTGGAACTCATGTGCACCATTGTTTTGGAATTAGGGTTTTCCAACTCTCTTAGGTGGAACCTCCATATCCACCAACCAGGTTAAAGCTCCAAACATTCGCTTTTCATCCTCTCAATTTCGCAAACGACGCCTCTGCTGCGAGAAGGCAATGAATAGGACTTCCCTGTCAGTGGCTGTATACGTGTGGTTATGTGCGAGTATTTCGAGAGGGAGAGCGGACTTTCCCGACTCTCGGTCGTACCAGGGCATTTGCGGGCAATCATTATAATTACACAATAAGAAATGTGTATGAATAATCAGATTAAACGTATAAGTAAGTACAATAAACATTTGAAAGTTAACAATTTTGTTTTTTTCTTAGATCAGTATTTTTTTGTGTTACCTTTTTATCCCACTTTCTTTCTCCGTAGGTTATAACTAATTTAGCTAATGAATTTATTGTAAATTGTGCAGAAAAAGCTCAACAACTTGCTTCACATAGGGGTATATCAAATGTTGAAGCAAAAGATGTTGTATTTTGTATGGGTAGGTTTTTGTTTTATAAATTTTAATATTTGTTATTATCATCTGATTGTACAGTTGGATTATATAATTCAACTATTTATAGTTTCTTAATATACAATTAATAATAACATACACTCTTAAATAGAGTGAAACTACAAGTATAGGGGTTGTGGAGATTATTAAGTTTTTGATTGAGATCATGAACCGATTGATGTTAGACCGCCGTTGGAAACCTGGAAGCAATGGATGGCCGTTTCATCCTACTGTAGGACTCCTCAGCAGTGCGCAACCATCCCGCTCGCGGGATTCCATGTTTCCAACGGTGGTCTAACATCAATCGGTTCATGATCTCAATCGAGAAAGGCTTCTCGACCTTGAGTATGCGGATGATATTGTCTTACTGTGTGATAATGCCCAAGGCATGCAATCCGCACTTAATCAGTTGGCAATCAGTGTCCGTAGGTATGGTATGTGCTATGCACCTTCGAAGTGCAAAGTACTTCTACAAGACTGGCAGGATTCCAATCCTGTACTCACCCTGAATGGTGAGCAGATAGAAGTAGTCGAGAAGTTCGTGTATCTGAGTAGTTGCATAAGTGCTAGTGGGGATGTGGGTGATGAGATCAATACACGTATAGTGAAAACCAGAGCGGCTTATGCCAATCTGGGCCACCTTTGGCGCCTTCGTGATGTTAGTCTGGCTGTAAAAGGTCGGATCTACAACGCGTCGGTGAGAGCAGTTTCGCTCTATGCTTGTGAAACCTGGTCTCTCCGAGTTGAGGACGTTAGAAGACTCTGTGTTCGATCATCGTTGTCTCCGAAGGATTGCTGACATCCAGTGGCAACATCATGTCAGTAATGCAGACGTTCGGCATCGTGTGTTCGGGCACAGAGATGATAATGCAATCGATGTCACATCTTGAAACACCGACTTCGGTGGCTTGGACATGTTCTACGAATGTCGTCCCAGAGAATTCCACGTCGTGCATTATTTGCCGACTCTGGGACTAGTTGGAAAAAGCGGAGAGTTGGTCAGTGCATGACATGGTTTCATGGTATGAAAGAAAGCTGCAAAGGACTGGCTTCTCTCGGTCCTTCACGACTCTCTGGTTGGGGTCCGAGAGATGGTGCTACACAGTAGCTAGAGACGTTATCAGATATGGCTCAGAATAGAAGCCAGTGGCGATCCTGCTGTAACCTTCTTTTACTTTCTTCATAAAAAGTGGTTGTGTCTCCCTTAACTGAAAGATTCCTTCTGATTGTACCTTTCCGTTCCACCATTATTAATATTATTATTACTACACTACCTTACACCAACCTCTTCGTTATTGTTTTTTTCACGCTCCTTATCTTTTTTTCTTTCTTTTCAAATTCTCATTGTTTTGTGTGGCGCATAAATATTGGCGCTCTCTTGTACCAATATTTATGTGTTCAAATAAATAAATAAAAAACAAGTATTCTTATATGGGCAAATATGTAAAAAAAATCATAAAAGACATTTGATAAAATGACGCTTTATGAAGATACAATTTAAGCTACTGCATTTGGTTTGAAGCTCATGGTTACAAAGTAGTTTTGAGTATGACAAAACCCTTTCAAAAACTAGTATACTACAGTGTTTGCCAAACTTCATGGATAATAATGTAGTATTTTTCAAATTATCAGAAAGAAAGTCACTGGAAGTTTTGATATTTGTTTGGGGATATTTAGTATATGGTAACACTGAATTTATTCATCTAATAACATAACAATATAAACAGTTGTACTTCAGAAAGTTATGACTTCTCGAATACCCGTTTTGTTACAATAAGTCAGAATTATCTGGGAAATAGATGTAGGATGATAGTATCAAAGAGTAGTTAGGAGTCATAACGAGTTCACACAAGCTATATCTACCGGATTCTTTGGTGTTCTTAGTATTCTTTCTACCTAAGATTGCAACATGTATCCAGTCGAAAGTGGGCGACCTCTCTATCGCATGCTCGAACATCAACTAGCGACCAAACACCATGATCTTTCTTCGCATGTGGACAATTTCGAGCATACATTCGACTAGGAAAATGTTGAAATCCTAAATAGAGGGAACAGTAAAAACACCAAAGAATTTTTAGAAGTTCGGTACTCATGTCAGTTAACAATTGACAAACATTTAAATTGATCCAATTTATCAACCAATCAAAAAATTGATGGACAACTATAGGACCAATAACCAAATCAAAGCGAGAGACAGTCAAAGTAAGGATGCAAACAATGGTAGATGAATAATCTAAAATAACCATTTAAGATTGAGGTTGACAGGACAGACTGTTAGTCATATGTGGAGAAATTGGAATACTTCACTTCTACCTGAAGTTTGTACTGATAATGCTGTTCAGCGGAACAATGTAAGCTCTACGATCAAAACATCCAGCTAAGAAAACGAATCCCTACCAATAAAATTTAACACACTTGCAAAATCCCGTTTAATTATAAGTATACATTCATAATTTGGCTTCTTTTCTTCTTCGTCCCAAGTTTAGAACGTGATTGGAATGTTATTGTCCCGGGTTTTGCTACTGAGGAACGAATTGTACGTAAAAGTTTCACAACTGAAGCACATAAACAGCGCTTAGCTTTAATTAAAAAACAAATTAAAAAAATGTGAATATATATCTCTTTGTACATTCAAAATTCTCCTGTTTTCTACGTCTCCCCTGTGTATTACACTTATATTTATTTAATTCTGCCTTCTGTTGACTTTTACTTCTTTAGTGGGGAAAACTATTTCTTTTTTAAATAAAAAGATTATTCAATGTAAATTAAATTGTTTTATATCATGGTAATTATTATGTAGTTTATTTTGGGTGACAGATTTCATTTCTTTAAATTGATATGTTACAAAATACCTGATTGGTATTGAATTACTCTTATGTACCATGGTCTAATACATTTTCCAAGCTAGAAAATACGATCAAAATTATTTGCATGAACCAGTTTTTGTTTTTCAAATCAACATTAAACAACTGTAAATTATCTTTAAATTAAATAAGATAATTTAGAAAATGTCAACAAATTGATGGTATTTTATTAACTGGATAACAAAGCGGGAAGTTTAGTATTTCATCTTACCCAATCATAAACAACGTAGAACCTAACACATGTGAATAAGTCAGTCATCTACAACGTGGGATCAGGCACATATATGCATCGGTTTAAGTTGTCACACCTCATTAACACAACAAGATGAGCACCAAAGTCATAGAAGTAGTTATTTCAATGATAATAATATATAAAAGAAAGGTTGTGTATAAAAATATAATACAGGAAGAAAGAATTAGTTCGTAGAAAGAAAGGATAAAGTAATTTCAATCTCACGGTTTAAGGGAAGACAGAAAGTGTATACACCTACGTCATTCTGATCGATTCTGAGCCACGTCACCTAGAGCCTCCAACCACTGGTTACGATAGTCACGCGGACCCCAGCCAAGTAGTTTGCGTCTACCAACATGGCTCAGACTAGAAGTTAGTGACTTCAAGGACTGATACCACATTTTGGTTTGGCTGCCCACATGTGAATTACCCTTAGTTGACACACCATATCGTGATATCGAGACGTTATCAAGATGAATACCAAAGTAGTAGAAATAACAGTAACAATAGTAGTGAAAAATATTACAAATGGACAAGATGATTGGAGAAGAACGAATACATGTGTGGGATAAAAAGATAATTTATCTAAAGCAAGACAAAGAGTGGGTGAATCTGTTCGATTTAGACCGTCGGTTGCGATGATTGCATAGATCCTGATCATATAGTCCGCATCTGTCAACAGGGTTCAATCCAAATGACTTCATGGGTTAATGCCACGTGATTTGGGTATTTCTAACTCCTCAACAAAGCGCATTTACAACCCCGCGAGGAATCGAACTCGAGGTTGAGACCTCAAGAGGAGTGCCTAACCTAAAGGTTAGACCGCTGAGTCGTTATCCACTAACTTACATTTCTAATTTTAATCAAACTTAGGTTTTGGTTGATTACCATTGATATTGTTTATCTCATACTCGACATGGTTGAAGTCTACTGGTCAGAGCTCCTTCGGAGTTTGCTTCTTGAAGTTAGTCACAACTAAGTTCATAATATATGTTATTATAGTGTTGCGAAGACTGTTGAATTCGACTCAGATTCGCCAATCTACATGATTTGTCCATTGAAATCAAATATTTCCCAACTCTTCACTATGTAAATAAGTGGTAGCAGTTTGCTTCGTATTAATCTAGGAGTGTAATGTAATTTTTAAGTTTTGTTCACTCATCCTCGAAGTTATGGAGTAGTGGCTTAGTGGTTAAGGTGTTCGATTTTCAGCAACCAGATTTCAGGTTCGAACGTTGACCCACCTAATACGCTTTGGACAACTGGGTAATATCATTAGCTCCTACTATTAGTGTAGCTCATAACCAAGTGAGTCAGCCCGCCTTGTGATTGCCACCACACTATTTCAATTTCTTTGGTATACATCTTGCTAATTTCATCTCGTCGTGCCAATATGATATGGCAACTTGAGTTAACGTAAGTTGATCATGACTCGCTGACTTTTATAGTACTGTTAATATTACTCCCACTCCTTAATTTTGTACCTTGGTAATACTTTCCGTCCTACTGATGTGTAGTGTAGCAACTTAGACTGACACTCGTCAGAAAAAGCATGCCGTAAACTTGTTTAAAAAACGCAACATTAAATAAAATTGTTCTTTCAGATATCCTTTATATACAAAAGAAAAATGAAACAATAGAATATTCAAAAGTTATTTGGATGAAATTTTTTATAATTACCAGCTGTATGGCATATCAAGTATAAGTTTACTCCATCAAAATGATTCATCTCGAAATTCATAAAAGTTGACAACCAAAGGTAACGAACGTGAAGGTGTAAGAATAGTACGAATAATGACTATATGCTTCTTTATTTTAATGTAATTATCTGTATATGGTTCTCAATACAATGCATAATGATATTAGTTCAAGTGGTTATTTTCCACCGTTGACGACTGTATTTTATTATGACTTCAGGCATTTAGTTTTTTATAAATTTATTGCTTATTGAAACACATTCTCTACTTTAATTATTATCATTGGTACTACTACTACCTCGTTGATTTCAACTTGCTGTGGTCATCTGGGACGACGTAAATTTGTATCCAGTTCTTGGAAAATAATCAAAGACGAGGGCGGAACTATTGAAGATAAGCTCTGAGATCAGTATGTTTGTTAAGTAGGAAAACGTTCATAAGCACATCTGGATAGATGAGGTGGAGTCAAAATTGTTTTTTATAGTCAACGTTGACATTCACACACAGCAGGCTGTTCAATTTAAAAAATATATTCAATCATAGTCAACCCCAACTGTTCATAAAACTTACCTACTGGACATATATACATACATCCAGTGAAAGCAATTCAGCGATCTAAGCTGAACATTGCTCGACTGATATTAGTAGGTAAATTGTTAGGAATTTAATTTATAGAAAGCAAGATACGTCAGGCTTTAGTTGAAAAACACCATTTAGCATCAAATCTCAATAAGAACCATGTATGAAAAAAGCATGATGAACTAATATGTCGGGGCCACGTTTTATCAAACTATGGTTATTAGGTCCATGAAGTGGTTTTTATTTACTGATCATCAAATAACGGCTACAAAATGTTACACATTTCGAGATTACGACAACTAGTTAGTATTGATTAATAATACTGAGAATCTAGCACACGAACTGATACGTGATTACTAAACTTCGTTTAATTAGAGCGGTAGCTTAGTGAGCAGAGCATCCAACTTCAACCATTGATCTAAAATTCGATTCAGCAATATCACCAGACATGATATGGAATGCAAAGTTTGAAAGTGAGTTAGTAAATCCGAACATGTATGAGTTGTAAGCACATGACACTAAACAAATACTGAGGATTGAATCTTCATGTACAGAATAGATTAAGTTAGTGAAGACGGAACCCCATCTATGAGCTGCGCTGTTCATTAGAATGCTCTATTTCCCCTAGTAAGATATAGTTTCTGAATAGACTAGCGAATAAGAACAGGTTTTGGATATACGACTAACTTCGTCAATATACCAAAACAACAATCGTCACAAAGTGACTATTGAAAACCAACTAACTAGGATTTCCTGACCACTATATATTTCGGTCTAGATGAAAACAGTAAAATCTCGAGTAATTCTAGACTTACTGGTTTAAACCAGAACACACCATGAAGTTGAACAGACTGCGAAAACCCTACACATGGACAAGACACCCTAATTTTACTTGTAACGTTTATTGTCGAAATTTAGTACACATAAAATGGCTTAGTGCATTATCACAAATCCCGAATAACTCATGACACTAATAATAATAGCAAAATCTAGAAATAAGCATCCAAACGTGTTTCACAGTAGATAATGTTAACTAGGTAATAAACCATGCAAGCTCCCAACAGAAGAATACAAAGGCCTATAGCTCATTCTTCAGTTTAGACATTGTTAGGTATACTCCAGAAAATCAAAATGGATATAAATTAGCAAAAGTACTTATATGACGATAATATACAATAAAGTGTAGTTAGTGTTACAAGTTCGGTAACCAAAAGCTGAATAGTTTGCTGCTCATTAGCGCTTCCAAAGTCACACTGGACCAGTGGATTCTGATGCATACGTACACCTAGGATGAATCCTGGGAGGACTATAAGCCAGACTCCGCCAGAAAAACCACCTGTTGGAACTAGTTAAAGCTAGAATATTTTTTGGAACTGAACAACAGATACAACGCTTTTATATTGAGTTATTGTAAGATGAGTAATCTTTAAAACACGACCACAAACTCACAGATCCATATCAAACAACTATCCTTTGATATCTACTGTATAAATGAAAAGATCGTACCATGGCAACCTGCAATATGGTTAAGATTTATTTACATACGTTGATTGAGAATATTGTGCAATCATTACCAGATTAAACAATATGTAGTAGATGTTTACCCTATATTTGCAAGGCGAAGGTTAGTGCAATATATTTACAACATTAAATTGCACAAACATCCCCCTCACAAACATGGACCACAACACAAGCGGCTTGCCGCTTTTTCCTGCGCGGTACATGTAAACAACATCAATGGCCAGAGTTGCGAAGTCAACCTGAAATTTTAATGTTTCGAAAACAAAATAAGTAGTTCGAAGACAATTAATGGATTTGACTTCACCTTGATGTTATTTATTCCGAAATATTGGATTTTTGATTTTCATATAGTGGCTTATAACTTGCTAACTGATGTTCAGATCTATAGTTGTGTTTAGCCAGTGGACTGTTCAAATGGCTCAAATGGTGTTTTACAGATTAGAAGAAGCTTTCGCTTAACAGGCTTCCTCATCTGATAGTACTGGATCACCGACACCTCCAGGTAGGTACCTAGGTATGTTAAGGACAGAAGAAGAAGAAATGAAAGTTGGTAAATTCTAGTAAGATACTGTCCTTAGTCCTTAAGAATATGTCAAATGTTTTCTTAAAAGACTCCTGAAGATTCGCTTGGACTAGCTAGGCAGACAGAGAATTTCCGCATCTGACTACTTTGGTGGCCCGTAGTTTGACTCCTATTTAGAGCGTAGGAATGTTTGCTATCACCTATTCTCGCATATCATCGTCGACTTAAATCGCGTTATCCAATAACGGAATTAAATAAGTCGAATAACGAGAATTGACTTGAGAATACATATATTTCGTACATGAAGCGAATGAAGCACAGCAAAGCAAAAACGACACGTATGGAAGATGGCTGGGAAGCCAACTCCATTTCAAGCCGGGCATTACTCAATATTTATAGGGATCTGTCCCAGAGTCTATATGCGCCTTGAGAAAATCAAGTTTTAGACTGAACCACTAATACAATAGGCAATAAGTCACTGATCTTTAGACAGTTCATTGAATAGCTGCGACTTCAAAGATGTCTAACAACGATTAATGAATTACATGCCATGGATAGGCTCGTGTGGCAGGGATCTCACTCTGTTTATCCAAATTAT